TGCGGAAAGGTAATGGCGAGGCAAGATATCGGCACGATTTTTTTCTCTCTCTCTTTTTTTGGGGTTCGCACTAGGGTTTTAAAATTTCCAAGGAAACACCCAGATCCGTTGGTGGCAACGTTATCGATCCAAATGAACATAAATTCGCCGTTCTTTTTTGAGAAAAAACGTACCTATATTTAAATGTTCCCAAATTTCCCCTCGTGTACTGGATTTTTACCTAAAGAATCTTCAGCGTTTCTAACTTAAAATTTTGACGATTTTTCCCCTGACTCCAAACAAAAAACAGGGAAATTTTGGACAAAAATTGCACTGGTAAAATTCTGTAAAAAATGGATTGTTTGAGTCAATTTTGCACCCTTTAAATGGTGTTACGTTCCTTTCTTCGGAGAGCGACGAAAGATGTGATACATTTTCTATTTAGTCCAATGTATGGTGTCATTCTTCAGTAAAGTTGACTTTCCGAAAATTTGTTGTGTTTTGTCTCATCTCTATAAGTTAGTAAGTAAGAAAGGTCCGGACTGACCGGCGAGGCGCCCTCAAGGGACCAAGGCAACTGGCAGGAATCCTGCCGTCGGCATCTTTAGTTCTAACTACGTTTTATTTTCGATCAATATGCTATTCTATTCTAATAAAAAATTAGCATTTTTCGAATTTATTTTTACTAACCCTGTTCATTGTTTTTAACACCCTTTACCACTTCAGATTTAATGGAATTCGATGAACAGTAGAGATTTAGAAGCGGAAATGATCTAAGAATGGCATGGGGACATCGTTACTCAGCCGAGAGAAATTGCGTGGGTGAAAGTGAGGTACACTGACCACAAAACGCAACGGATATCGATCTCTGTTGCCACCCACAGCTTAGTGATAAAGAAAGGGAGCAGTTTCGATGAGAATTCGAAGCAAAACTTTCTTGTCCTCTGAATTGTATTATTTCTCAATACCACCTTTTTCCTTTCTTCAATCAACAGTACACTGTTAAAATTTGGGGAGTAAAATTTGGTGCCGGAGTCTACGTGGCGACCATAAAACCTGAGTGATATGAATGTGAAGTGAAATTAGTATCATAAATCCTCAGCAAAAAGAGTGATTTTTGCTCCGTAATAGTGTAAGACATTCCGTAAGGAGAGTAGATTCCGCTCTGCATTCTTGTCACTCAGGATTTTTGGATGTTATGCGGATTCTTGCACCAAACTTCACTCAAAAACTTTTAAAAGTGTGTTGTTCTCGGTGCAGTGTTCGAAACTCACAGCCGCCAACGCGACAAATGCGCCTAAAACATCGGCGATGGCGCCTACAAAATGAAAGCTCTGCGCCAACGAGGCCCCTAAAAAATGTCCCCGAAAAATCTGGATTTTCATGGAAAGTCACTTAAAAAAAGAAAAACTAATCTATTTGATTTGAAAAAACTCGGAATTTTCAGCACTAAAAGTGAAACCTTTTTCTATTCTTCACGATTTCATTCTTAGTGTTTTTGTCTTGCCCAAGTTACAGGTACTAAGTAGTTTTTTTACGAAAACATTTTGCGTCTAACTTTTCACTAAATGTGCCGTAATATGTAGGCAAAAAGTCACTTTGGCCCCTAAAAAATCTTCATTGGCGCCTAAAAATTAGGCTTGATGCGCCACATGGCTCCTCAAACTCAAAGGTGAGTTTCGAACACTGTCTCGGTGCAACACCCACCCGCACTGTTTTTGTTCTCTAAAGTTTTGCCGTGTCACACTTCTTGCGACATGCTGCATTTTGGATTGTTTTCTAATTCAGTTTTGATACCAGCCTTATACTATCTAGTGCAATGGCTATTACGTTAAGTTGTCTAAAGATACCCATGGGGAGACATTTCAATTTATAATCACAAGATTCATCACAGAGCTGTTGCATTTTAAGGGTATAAAAAACAGAGGCGACATTCCAATCTTCAGATATTGACTAACGTTGCAAGCAAACGTTTTGTCCCACGTTGAGGAGGGCTCCAAGTATGATGAAAACTCACTGTCATGGGCAGGTGATTTCTTTCAACTGAACTTGTCCCATGTCCCTACTTTTACTATGCTGAATAATATGGTTTGCACCGGTGAGAATTCATGGCTGGCTCTAGCTTACCGTAAATAAAAGGTCATATTGCGGACAGCTTGAGTTCAGCTTTTTTGATGGATCATTTGGTTGCAATCGACCGCAGTCACAAATGAAGCCATGATTGAATTGATGCATGATCGAATGAAAAATCTAATTTGATTAGCTCCTAATCGTGAACCGCAAATATTAAATTTAGCGTTACTAGGATACAATAGAGTTTTTTGTACCACATAACTTTTCTGTGGTCAATACAACGACTATCCTCCCATAAAAATTCCAGGTTCAATTAATCCCAAAATGTCGTCAATTCAGAGGGCTATTAGTAAACTGACTTTTGTCTCAATTGATTATAACTTTATGAAGAGGGGACGGAGTCTTTGTCACTACCTGATGGCTTCGCTAACTATTCGCTGGATCAAACGAAAGAAATTACCTAATGCTGAAGCAATGCCAATTTCAGCTTTATTGGATGGTTTTGTAATTTCTATCCTTTTCAGTGACTGTCCTTTGGGAAGAGACCTCAGCTCCCAATGACAAAACACTGAGAAGAGCGCTTTTTTCGAGTTGAGTTGATATATTGGGCGTGTCGAAATCAAAAGGACCTATCTCCGCCTTGTCATGGGCCCTTTTATGCATGTATTCGAGTGGATCGCAAAACTTGAGTCATAGTGCAGATACAAGTACTGCCGTGCTGAAGAAAAACGCCGTATGAACATTCAGAAGTTGCCAAATTTCCGTCAGTAAAACATGCATTTTTGACATCATGCACATTTTCCCTTGAAATTTTCAGATTTCTTAAGATTCTCAGATTTTTCTGCGTAGAAAATTGTCTGAAACATTTGGGGGAAAATACTCACAATTTCCCCAGTTAATTCGGTTCTTATCTAAGGAAACTTGGCAACATTCAAAGGTTCATACGACATTCTTCCTTAACACGACAGAGTATTTTCTTTTGATATAAATAGTCCAATTGAAACTTGAGATTTCAACCGAAAATTCTCCCTCGTGCCCTAAAATTGCGAGCGGTATTTATAAGCCTCGTGCATGCCAAAAGACGCATAGAATTGCAACGTGAAAAGACAGTTTTTGCCCTGCACATGACATGTTAGAAAAATAAATAGCTTTTTCTTGATACTCTGATTTTTAAACCGGGTACTTCAAAGGATCACCACCCCTGTTTAGTTTCAAGTTTTTGGCTGCTTATTTTTGTCCGAACATTTTTGGGGGACACTCCTTTATATTCTGGATTCAATCCCTCAGTTTCAAATTTTTGAGGACCACTTTTTTCTTCCAGTTTGCCATGTAAATGAATCTGTTCTACCTAATGGTGCCCCGTGATAATACATTGGTGACCAAAACTAAACATCGCGTTCCTACATTGCAACATCCAAAATTTGCTGATTTTATTGTGACTAGAATAATACTAACTAAAATATCGCATTAAGACTGAATATGAACATTCTTAAATGAGTGAGGAGGATTCACTGAAAATTTTAACGGAGACATTTTAAGGGGGGATTCGTTTTCTATCGAGGAAGAAAAAGTTAGAATAGTCACATGAGAGGAAACTTGCAGCGCTGCAAGCATAGATGCATATTTTTTGACTTCAGCCATTGTCATATCACGACGAGCACCTGTTTACGTTTTCTTTTTCTTTTTTCTTTGTAGGGTGACTACTTTGACAAGGCATTCTTGTCCTTCATTGAGCATTAATTTTTTGTTTTCATCAATTTCTTTTATGATGCAATGTCTACACCTGCAGGACGTATTATCTCATGTGACATGCAAACACTCTTTCAATGATAGCGTCTCCCATGCATTAAACTTTTGTCGCTGAAAAATATGGCTCTTTTATGGAGACGTGTAATATTAATTGTAAAATACGTTTAACTTCAACTTTTTAGCTCAATTTCGGCCGCTTAGGATGATTGTGGGTTAAGTTTCGTCACAATTTCTCCAGTCTTCAGAAAATTTGTATACCAATTCATAAGCTCAAAAGTGCACGTATCTCTAACTGCTGCGGCTCAAAACTCCTGCTCAAATTTTCAAAAGAAAACCGACCATAAAATGTCTTCAAACTAAGTTTTGAGAATTTTTCTTTTTATAAATGAAGAGGCTTTGGGATTAATTAGATATGACAAATTTTGCTACGTTCTACTCTTCATCGCCTTCTTCTCTCTCACCAATATGTCTCACTTTAACCGAGGAAAAAGTCACCAAACGCTGTTTTTCAAAGAGCAGGATATCTTTTTCTCAAAAATTTGAAACTCACTACCTTTTTTTAAGTCTTTTTGACCAAATTGGACCAAGGCACGGGTCAGCGTCTGCAGTTATCTCACTTTGCGGAGAATACAATTTGAAATCAAACGTCGCGTCGGAAAAAAACGTATATTTAAAGTTCTAACTAGAATTGAGTCATACTGACTTGCTCATATCGAATAAATCGGACATTAATATATTTAATTAATTGTGTTGGAAAATTATGCGTTTTTTAACCAATTAATGAACTTCACTACAACATCACAGTCACTTTCATGAAAATTATAATAACGAATTTAAAGCCAAAAAATAATTTTCTCTTTTCCTTACTTTTTTTAAATAAATAAAAATTATCTAAATATATTTAGACATCACATTAGAGCAGCAGCCTTTATACATGTGTTTCTCGAACATGTAACTGAAAACCTCTTCGGAAATTGGGAATATTGTATTCGCAGAACTATCATTAATATATAGAAGGCGTGCTAGATTAAGTTTAGCACAACAAAATAAAAAAAATCGATATTAATTATTTTTTTAAAATAATAAGTTTGCACAGTAAATATTGAGAAATTATGAAATAATATGAGAAATATCTTAAAAGAAGTTTCATCTGAGGAGTGTATGAAATTTCTAGAGTAAATGAAAAGTAAAGCACTTACGGGGTTCCGTCAAAAATGTGACGTTGTTGTACTCGGCGGGATAAGGCACATTGTGTGATGTCTCGGCACAGGAACATAAGTCGTTTAAAACATTCACCCACAAAACTAGCGAGAAAGAATAGTAGAAATAACTACAACTTATTCTGAGCATTTTGAAAACCAATGTATATGGCGTGCACCAGATGGAGATACGTACTAACAACTACTAATACTACTTCAACTCCTTGGGCGCCAACCAACTGCAAGTGAAAGTTTTCAAATACTCTAATAATGTTATGTCAGTGTTACATTACATTCGTTTACTTATTTTTACGCTTATCTATATATTGGCTTCACTTGAGTATTTGGATCTTTTTGGCCCTTGCCCACCCCGTGATCGTCACTGAAAAATTGAAACCGGGTTGCCAAAGTGAAATTACTTTGGCTTGAAAGTGAGAGAGAGGGGGAGGGAGAGAGAGAGACGGACGATCCAAGCGCGGAGGGGGGAGGACTTGGTTGAGTGAGCTGGATGCAAGACATCAATATTCGATACTCCTCACACGGCTCCGATCACTTCGATACATCGATTAATTTTAGCCATTGTCCAAACGAGCGTTAAATATGTGCGTGGAGTCGTCAAGTTGATGGTTGTTGGCCCGGTTGACTCGCTGATTTAATGGCTAGATCCCTCACACACACGCACGCTTATTCACACATTCACGCAGTTACTGGCCTACTGGTTTTCTGGTTCCATAAAATTGCCGGGCCGCGCTGCCCTGATCAGCCAACTTCCAGAGATCATTAAATTTGACGAATTGATTCCTCGCCCGAAACTGGGCTAATTAAAATTTCGAGACGACGCGTGTACAGGGTGATCTTTACTCGAAACAACCTGACACTTTCGGGAGGAAAAAAATTCTTTGAATTAGTTGGGACGTCGAGAAAATATTCCCTGCTCTAAAAGTTTCATCAGGACAACTGAAAACTTCGGTCACTCGCTTGCATAGGAAAAAGTCACTAGTCAAAGGTATTAAAGCACCCTGTTTTCTCGTCCAAATTTTATGTAGAGCTATTGATGCTAGGAAAAGTTCAAGAAATTACTTTCTCTGATGAAGTTCATTGTTTCAAGAGAGCAATAAAGCGTAACGAGAAATCTATTAAATCTACCATCAGCAGAGCGTTTAATGCCTACGAATAGTAATTGATTTATGATCCTCCATTTATGAGGTGGCATGAGCACTTTTTTTCAAAATAATTGTCTAGTGTGTCAAGAAAAACAACCAATTTGCCAATTTTCTTTGATATGAATGATGCAATTTCTGTATAAGGAGATTCAATGACTTTCTTAAGCACTACGCAAATGCGTATTAGCACTGAAAATTTTTAAAAACTATTGGTGTTATTTTTACGTTTGTTTGTATGGAATTTGCTTATTAAGAACCCCCTCATTATCAGTAAGCGAAGGACGACGAATTTATTGGAATTGTAAATTTAGGTAGTGAATCAATGTTTTTGGTACGCGACGTACCTACATAAGTGCCGCACCCTGTATGCTGGAAGAACTTGCGATGGCACAGGAAGAGAGGCAGGAAATAAAAGCCGCGAATACTCGCAAGTTACGCCAATCGTTCCCAAAAAATCTCTCACTTCTCTCTCAAAGAGGAGGAAGAAAATGGAAAACGTTGGTTTCTAGGTAGTTGTTTCTCACCAATAATAGCGATGAAAAGTGCTGGCAAACGGTGGTTCATAACTAATTTAAACATAATGATTTAAGTGAGTGTCCAACGAAATTGTGTAACGTATTATGTCCGGTTTTTTTATGAGAATCCTCTCGTAACAAATCCAGAGCTCCGTCGTAGACATCTGTCACAAATGATGTAACCACCTACACATACCAACTCCCTCGATCTTCCCTCGTTGATTCCCTAAAAACTGTGTTAAAATACTCTGGGAAGAACTCATTTCTTTTTTATCTTAGGGAGCTTATCTACCGTAATTAGACAACAAACCTCGAGGAGAAAGTGTATGATTCCATTAAAAGGTTGGAGTTGAGGTATACTAGTAAACAAAACAAAAATCCCTTTCAATCGAGTCTTTTTAAAAAAAAAAATAAATAAAAAAAAAAATAATTAATTTTTCAGAAAATCTTGGGAAATTCTTCATTACGGCTGTACAACTGCATTTCCCTTTTTGCAGTTATAGATTATTTTTAATGCTAAAACTATCTACAACTTGAGCAACGCGGCAGATCAAATTTTACAAAAAAAATTAAGAACTTTGAGACTCATAATTTAAAATCCCATCAAACCCATCCCAGTGGCTTTAAATAAGCTATATTATGTAGTAAGTTCTAGTAGCAATTAAAGTGGATCCAAAGTAATAACCGATATATCCAAAGTGATATCGAAGAAAAAAAGGAAAAACCACGCGGTAAGGATACTGTTTAAAGGGGGGAAAATGCAGGGCAAATAAACATAATTGCAAACCACTTATAAATTATTTTGATTTTTTAATATAAAATTAGTCAATAAATTACATACTTCACATTACAGTAAATAAATATTCGCTTGCGTAAAAAAAATCTTAACCATTCAAATTCGATGTAAAAGCTAACAACAGCAACAACAACAACTTTGAGAGTGGTACCAAAATAGTTTCGCCTAATTACTACGTATTCTAGATTGCTGAAAGCATCGAGATTAGCTGCATGTTGAGAGACAACTGGAACCTTGTGCTCACTAACAATAAGTTAGAAGTTAGAGTTTTAATTCAGAGGAAGAGCTTTTCACTCCTTCATTTCACCAAGCAGATCGGAAGGTCGATAAAGTCCCAGGCAAAATATTGTAGGAAGTGATCGAAATATATTTATTGCACAAGGAGGATAGACTTATTACGTAATACTGACAACCCTTGAATTGTTTAGCGCAATTTAGGGTGGTAAAATTTCGTCCAATGGATACTTATGGAACAATTTATTCGCAAATTTCTTGAAGAGATTTGCAACCGTTTCCTCTAGAACTGGTTTAATTTCCTGGGCGACATTACGCCAGTTATCGTTCAAAAATAGATTCATTGCGTCACCTGGAACATAAGATTCACATTTTGATGAAATGAGATTAGGTATCTTTTTAAGTGCATATAAAGCGCAAATTGAAACTTTTTATAATTATTGTTACTTCCAAATAAACACAACAATAAGTTTGTGATTTTTTCCAGTCTATTCCTTTTTTTTCCTGCTAAAAGTTTACTTGAGTGTTTTAAAAATGCATTCAAGCAAATTCTATTATCTTGTTATGTTGAATCACTTTTTTTAGTCAGTCAAAATAATTGAATGCATCCAAATCTGGACCTCAAAATAAATGTCCATTGTATGAACTGTCAAATTTGATTTTTTTCTCGTTTTCATTTCCGGAATTTTAAAATCTAGATTCTTCATCAATCATTTTTGATCTGTTTGTCCTCCCCTCAACCTTTTCTGAAAAGTACCTGGCCATGCGGCTACACCTTGCATTCATTTCAGGACAAATTCACACGAAATAGAAAGTCACAAAAGTAACTTATTTGGACTCAACATTACCTAGTTCCTTGTCTCCGTCAAAGAGATCTGTGAGGTAGACGCTAGCATGCCCTATGTTGAAATCACAGAAAAAGTCCACCACATTGAAGTATGTCTTTCCATCGATGTGAATTTTCTCACCTTGCACAACAGCAGTGGCCTCAATGTCAGCTGTAAAATGAATAAAGATTGTTAAAAAAAAAAAAAATAACAGGAGTTCCTCTGTTTGAATCGGCTTATTTTAGGAGTTTTTTCTTCTTTACTTTAAGTAGAAGGTCCAAATTAATAAAGACGACATTTCGTCAACTTCCGGCCAAAGTATCACAAGTGTCATTGTAAAAACCATTCTAGCTGGAGCGCACTTCAGCCATGCATTCACCACTGCAAAAATGTCACAGGAAATCGACACGCCCAGCGTGCATGGAGGCTATTTCCATTTAAATTTTCCGTCACATTCTTACGGCGCAATGATGCAACTATTTGAACTCTCCGGAATGCGTGAGGTATCACGCCGCATTTGAAGGCGTTTTCAAAACAGCTTAGTTCCGATACCCGGATTATCGTTTTGCATAGTTCATATTCTTTTGTTATATTCCGTACCACTCGTTTAATTATAATCCTCCTATAAAAACGACCCATTTGCTAAATACAATTCTATAGCTGAAGCGCAACTAAGCGCATTCACGACTGCAAAAATGCGACGTTTAAACATTTCCGCCACCGCCATTTTATTTGTTTACAGAGAAATTATTCAACAAAGCTGTCCGAGAATTTCACTGAATATTCTTTGTCCTGTCGATAAAATTCAGTAATTTTTTCAAACAGATTCAACCAACAATTTCTCTGTAAAAAAATAAAATGGCCCCGGAAATTTTTCAACGTTGCATGAGGCTTGTGAAACTTCGGCCGGAAGGTGACACTTTCTTGAAACATAAAGAGTAACGACATCTATGGTAAAGACTGAATGGGGCCATCTTTGATTGTATTCTGCCCTGGATCCATTCAAGGTCCAGTCAGAGCCTTCTAGAGATACGATCATGAAGTTCCTTTTTCACTCTTATCACGGGTGCGCAACATTTATTGATTTTTCTTGTGATTTTATTGTTCAATGATTGAATTATTAAAAAATAATTCTAACATAAATAAATCAATCGAAAATGGGACGGTGAATGAATAAAGAAAAGATGAAAATGAAAGTCACACTTACTGTAGTTCCCTTCGCTGAATCCTTTACCGGTGATGGGCAACATCAGTATTCTTCCGTCAATGGTGTATTCCGAATTCATGTGCAAGAATGGCAGCCATACTTTCAACCTCATCCTATCCTTCTCAAAGTCCACCCTAAAACATTGTATATTTTAGTAGACATTTTTAAGAGTTAAAAACTATCCTCGGTTTCAGAAACCTCATTCTCGGAAATTGACTTCAATCAAATATTAATTGAAGTCAATGAGAATGAAAGCACTGCAGCAAAAATTATTGTTCGCATGAATATTATTTCCTTATTTGCAACTGAAGGGGATGGAAAGTATCATTGCGATAATAAAGTTCAGTTTGTGTCTTTATGTACTACAAGGGAATATTCGAGGACAAAAGGAGACACACAAATTCAATTAGATAACTTTTACTGCTTGAAGGGTGTTTTCTGGCCTATTACAAAGACTGAGGACAGAATATTTATATTCGTAACCTCCTCATTTCAGTTGGCCCTGTTTCAGTAGGAAGGATCAGGTCGCGTCATGTTGTAAGCAAGAAAAAGTTTTGATGTTTCAAGTCTTCATTTAAATTACTATTAGAAATTTTCAAAGCCATTTATCCTGTCTCTGAATTTGTAACAGGGAATAATAAGCGGCTGATTAGATTAGAAACTTCAAGTCTTTTTTCACTAAAAACTTGTTTACTTGCTGCTTAGTTCAGGCTCGTTGTCACGCGATTCGAGGAGCAGCGCCTGAATGCAACTATTCGCACTTGATGGATGTCTGAGTTGCATATTCGAAACATTGAAGGCGCGCTGGCTTACAATATTCTCACTGTATCACGTTTCTCGTGCTAAATCACATGCATATTAATGTGAACACTTTTTGCTTAACGGATATATGCGAGTTGTATCTGCAAGAAACTAAAGTCGTAACGGGTTACATTACGCTATATTCAACATAAATCTACTTTTCTTTTTTTTTTTTAAAAAAAAAAATCGATAGATATATGAATTAAAAAAACATTCAATTGCACGTCAGTAAAACAGAACGAGAGGGATTTTTGATAAAAGTTATGGATGTTTTTCCTTAAAATTTTCAGGGATTTTAGGTGAGACTGCGAACGAAATTATCAGAAAAATTGAAGGGAAACTATTCATAAGATTACCAGGAAATTCGTGTTTTACCAAAAGAAATATGGCAACGCACGAAGGTTCATATGGCGTTCTTCCTTAGCACGGCAGTGCGGGCCTAACTTGCAAAGCTGAGCGAGGAAGTACATGGGCTATTTTCTACGAGTAATTGATTTTACCTTGTTCCTAGTTTTTCAAAACGCTTGCAGCGATGATATAATGATTTACAACGAGGTGGGTAATAAACAGTCAACCCAGTGGCGAGGCGTGAATGATCGACTATCGACATTTTTTCATTTGAAACTACGGTACAGAATCGATTATTACGGTGTTCGTTGCGAACAACCTGTAAATCGATCTTTTTTCATAGTTTTAAATGGCAGATCAATAGATATATCGCAAATCACGCCACGACTTTGAGTCAGCCGCGAAAGTGCGCGCATGAAGCATTTAAACACGAGAGACATCAATGAATTAATTGTGCATCACGCATCCTCTGATTACATTGAACCCAAGTCCAACGGCAATATTCACAGGCATTGCATGCTATTAGGTGGAAGAAAGCTAGTACATATGTATAATCTAACTGCTGCGGTCTCTTGAACAAGCGCATTTTTTCAAAGGTTATCCTTCCTCCTCTGTGATTAAGTCATCGCGATTGACTATGCCCGAAGGTGTAACCCTCAGTGCGGTTACCTGAAGGTGAATCGACGAGGCAAACTCAGGATATCAAAGTCAAACTAGCCCGTTTTTCTGCAATTATGAATTAAACTTTCTTTTCAAATGAAAATGGGACTAGAAATTTAAAGGTGCCTGGAAGAAAAACGATCAAACCCAGGAACAAAAAGGTTGCCTCTTTCTCAACATCAAGATTTCAGATTGACTAAACCTCGTAACCTCTGAGAATTTGACTGTCTGCCTAGGCATTTGATAAAATGCCTGATTTGACTATTCGCCTTCGACAGAAACTTTGCAAAGCGCGCCACGCAACTGGACCAACTCGGTTGATCCTGAGTCCTCGAGTCTTGAATGGGCTCAGGTTAAAGGTAAATTACTCTCCTTCGAAGTTCATTGTCATTCAGCATAGTCCGTTCATTCATGGGTGATTCGATTATACTGCCATACAACGGTAGACAGTCGTAAGTCCAGAGAGTGGATTTCAGCGTGAGCCGCGATCAGCGTGTATTCATATGCGCCTTGAATCTCACACTGCAATGCTTATACGGTTGTCTCTCGTTGCAAAGTCAGCGCCTTCACGAGTGCGATTGATGTAATTTAACAAGTGATCGATGTTCTATACAGCGCGGTCCTCATAGAACTCTAAGGTCGGAAAAGCGCGATGAAGTATTATTTCCCAATCGAGTTTTTGCAACGGGGGGTTGACTTTAATGGCCTCTCTTGGATCAGATTAAATGCCTTCGAATATCAATCAAAACCCGAGGAGAAGTGAGAGGCGTGGATAACGGTATGAAATTAGTGTTGCTTTTTCTTTTTCTCTTTTTATTGTCAGCCTCATTTATTTATCAATGTTTTCGGAGGTCAGATGAGCGACCAATTACGGTGTAATTCAATCTCTGCTCAACGCAGCACGATCTAATTTTTTAAAAAGGCCCAAGGCATATGCCACAAAATTTTCTGCTGTTTCTGACGGCCGGTCAGAGCGGAAAAAAGGAGTCATTGAGAAGTCTTATGTCTTTGTGTCTCAATGAAGGGATGCTAGATTAGTGCCTTGACTGGATAGTAGCGGTGAGGTGTAAATGATATTATCGATATTTCTATTCTCCTAAGAGAAGGGCACAAAGTTGGCTCTCTTCTCCTCCTGAGAATGATTGAAGATTTTGTGCTGTTTTAATAGATTTGATGAGTCCTTTATTTTTAGAGTTTTAGTATTCATATAGTTTATTGTACTTGATATTGGATGGCCTAACAAACAGGGCTAAGCCCTAGTCGTTAGTGGAAGAAGAAGATCGATATTTCCCCATTTGAAACCACAGTGAAGAATCGATTAATAAGGTGCTCGTTGCTGACACCCTGTTTATTGATCCTTTACCGTAGGTTTAATTGGCAGACCACTGGGTATATCGCAAAGTACGCCACGCCACTGCTTTACGAGATCTAAATCCCCTGGTATCAAAACTCATACTCTTAAGGCAGTAATCCAGCTTCTCTTCATAGGGACACAAAAACACGAAGCATTCACTTCTCAATGTCCCTTTTTTCTCGCTGTAATCGGCTCTGAAACAGCAAAAAAAAATGGGTAGCATGCCTTGGGCCTTGGGCGTCCTTTTTTATATTTTTAGTCGCTGGATCTCCGTACTGCCGTGCTAAGGAAGAACGCCGTATGAACCTTCAGGTGTTGCCAAATTTCTTACAATAAAGCACGGATTTTTGCGAACATTTTTGATTATTTTCCTATCAATTCTTCACATAATTTCGTTTACAAGTTCTCTTACAATTCCTGAAAATTTCAAGGAAAAATATTCATAGATTTTCTTTAAAATCGAAATTTTACCTGAGGAAATTCGGAAACTCTCGAATATTCATACGGAGTTTACCCTTAGCTACAGCCCTGTGTCCACTCGTCAAAATGGCGTCAAAATAGCGTCAAAATGGAAGCTCGAAGTGAATCGACAAGTACGATCTGTTCGCAATTGTTGATCAAAAAAGAGTCACGCCGCTCTATTTTGAGTTGCAACACTCATCAATCGCACCAAGTCCCGACTTTGAGCCACTTATCGTTGAAATCGATTCACTTTGAGCTTCCATTTTGATGCCATTTTGACGAGTGGAGACAGCGCTAAGCAGCATAAGAGCTCATGATCTCTCCATAGAGATGTGCTTTCTTGACAAATCTATTTGCTGGTAGATCGAGAGAGCTAATCCCTGGTCGTTAAACGATCAACATAGATCGGAATTCGCTCGTGTAACGACGGCTGTAGATGGCGAGCATCCGACACTAAGACGAAGCGTCCCATTTTTGAAGAGGTTTTGAGCAGCTAGATTGGGGTTTTGACACACTGTGAGCCGCACCGGTCATCAGGAAACGGCAACAACGGGCATCGATAAACGCCGAACACCTCTCAAGCAGGAAACTGGCTACCGCGAGTCGAGATTTCTTCCTCGTCAGTCTTTGTTATGTCACACGTTACGCCACTGACATCTTCCAGCAGCAGCGGCTTGGCGGTCTGTTCGGCCCCTCTCCNGGGGGGGGGGGGGGGGCGTCGGTTTGGCCGCAACTGACCGACGACGATGACGCTACGAGACGCTTGACTGAAGCGCGGAGGGGCGTCAGTGGCCTGCTGCCGGTTTTTGGAATTTATTTAAATTTCTTACTGCGGCCTTTATATTTGGACGCATTATCGACGGTGTAAGTCGGCAATCACAGAACTCGGTTTGCGACGTCGCAGACTTCCCGTCATACTTTATTTTTCAAACGGAAAACTTCTCAACGGCAATTCTTTAAAACTGCCGTGATTTGTCTTCTTTGTGCGAGGAAAATTCTACAAAAACTTCAAGGAATGATGTCAATTTGTTCTTTTTTAAAAATATAACATAGGGGTGGAGATTTTCTGACACCGCAAACGAAATATGTGATTGCGGATTTACGCCGTCGATATATCGATAGTCAAAGTGGGAAATCACGTATCTTCATTGTGATATTTCAAAATTCCGATCTTTTCTTTTTTTTAAAGAAAAATAAGTCAATTTCATAGCTTTAAATTTTAACAGAATATTCCGCTGATAGAGAGGAGATATCAAGCAATTTCATTGACTAGTTTCTCAGAGAGAAAATAAAGTATAACAGGAAGTCTGCAATGTCGCAAATGGATGTACGTGGTTTCACATTTCGGCAATCAATATACTAAGTGGAAGTAATTAATTATTTTGATCTAATTTATTTCTGCAAAAAAGAAAATTTGCAGCTGTTTTGAATTTCACTCATCAATAACGAGCACTAGAATATCTTCGATTTTTAAATTAAAATATTCTTGAAGGATGTATGACAGACTAATCTGATCAAATCAAATGCATTGGGAATGCCGTCCTATGCAATTTTCTCACTTTTGAATCGTACTTTTTTTCATTTTTAAATATTTTTCCTCCAAATCCTTAGATCAGAGAAAATGGATAAAGAAATACTGTGTACTTACTTCATCGAGTGCTTGAAAGCAGTACAAATTTTGGACCGAGTTTAACAGAAATGCATCAAATTCAAACACATCAATCCAGCAATCTGGCAACACCTGATTTCCGCCGTTTAAATCTATGTTAAATAATCGATTCTTGTCGGAGCACCTGGCTCCTCCAAGAGTAGATGCATTTCCATAGGTTTAAATTGAGAAAAGACAATGTTTCTAATTTTTTGGATCCAACAATGAGTTCGAAACGGGAAGAAGAGGTTTTACGGACTCAATGTAACGGACAAAGTTTCATAACTGTTTTCACGCTAAAAATATTTTTCTCTACTTCAAATTGTTGACAAGAGAAAATATACGGCTAGTTGCACTCTATTCCAAAATGCAAATTTATTAGTGAGAATATCAACAACAACTTCTGAAAGGCTCCCTTTCTAAAATTAAATCTGAGAAATTATTTTTCATTTTACTTGCAGCAGACAGGTATACTAAAATTTCAATTTTTGGTTTGGTACTAGCAAAGTAGCAAGCGAGAGTTAAAACCTCCAACAGAATGCAAGTTCATCGCTAGAAGTACCGCCTTAAGCGAGCTTGATAGACTGCAAGAGTTTACGGGTTGCAATCACGCTGCGAAGGCGCTTGCATGCGACTATTCGTGCTCGAGGGACGTCCGGATTGCATACAGAAAAATTGAAGGCGCTTCAACTGATGGCAAGCGTGTGACGCTGCACAGCTGCACATCTCGTCATTTGTAAGCGATGGCCGAAGGTTTACGGGATTCAAGCGCGATACGACGGCGCTTAGATACGACTTTTCATGCTCGAGGGACGTTCAGCTTGTGTAGAGAAAAATTGAAGGCGCTTTACCCGATGGCAGACGCGTGCCGTTTTACGTTACACAGGAGGCTCAGAGGTGCGCAGAAGTTCATAACGAAGATGGGCTGCTCGTATTTTCTGACATCTTCAGACAAGTCTATAATCTATTCTAATTAATAACTGATTGAATGATAGTGCGGATAATAGAGTTAAACGTCATTTGGGGGAAATGGGAGATTTGTCATAAATGTCAAGTGTAACGCAGCGTATCCTTTAATTTTAAATCCGTTCAATTGAACACAGGAATTTTGAAACCTTGAAAGTGCCATCAGTTGATTTCAGGATTTTGGACGATGCTCTTTTCTGTAAAATTATCTATACCTTCCTCATCAATTTTGTATTACAAAATTTTCTATAAATTTTGTTAATGTTTTCGTGACAGAAATAGATGTCATCAAGCCCCCAGATATTGGTTGAACGAGAAAACAATTGCATAATCTTAGCGACAATCGCTGGCGCTTACCAGGTTTTGCATTTCCACTCTATATTAATTTTTCGACGAGTTACGTGTCTCAGCTATTCTGTAAAATCTGGTTTCGTAACTCACAAGGGTTTCATTAGGAAATATGTATTTTAGGAAAGACCTATTAAAGGGCGCTAGGCAACCTCTAGAGGTCGGGCCGCGTAGTGACCAGGGAGCGTGCCCCTAGTTCATTTGTATTGGAGCATATCTTTAGGTTTCTTAAATATAACTTTTGACAGAAGCATCATCAAAAGAAATGGTTACAAATACGAGCCCAAGCCGTATTGTCATCAATGGAGGGACTCCTTTGGTGATTAGAAACCCCACCGAACCCAAGTAAAAGGTAACCGAAACCTTCCGTAAAAATTCACCTGATGTGAGTCAGGAGGTGCACTTTTTGGTAGCGAGTTTTGTTCAAAGTCAAAAGCACATGATAGCAACTCGAGCTGGAACGTTAAATTATGGTTATAATCAAGTTTTATAATGATTTTCATGATGCTTTTGGGACTAAGGTGAAGTGTGACAGCCAACGCTTTCAGAAACAAAATCCCAATATTATTACCAAACTGCACCGGGTGGAAATGTTTCGATATTGTGAGAAAGGTTGGTGAAAATTACGGGCCACATTCGGTCGTTAACACAGCACAATAACCTGAAAGTACAGCCATATTAAAAAAAAAACAAAAAAAACATGGAATTTATGAGACTAAGTCTCATATTTTGTGAGACGGCATTGTTCCATGTTTTCATTTCATGACACTTTAAGAATATAGAAACTGTTACTTACTTGACACTTTTCAAAACGAACTGACTTGGACCGTAAATTTTAATATTGGAGTAGGTTGACTGCACGGCCACTGAGCCTTTACCTTGGTTCATGACAACCTCAGGGATAAACAGGGGTTCACATGGTGGAATTGACAGTTCAGGGATACCTAGAAAAGGAGGAAACACAGTTTGGAATCAGATCGTCCGTAAGTGATGGATACATAATTCTATCTGAAGAGGATCTGAAAAGATTTGGAGGAATATCAGCTGAATTAAATGAAAAACGCGCTAACTCGGGGACGCAGCGGCAGGAAAAAACTCCTTCAATACGAGAAGATACTCAAGTACTTGCAGCAACTGTCACAATCTCTAACTCCTCTTCGTGAATTTTCTTACATGTTGAAAGTTGAAAATTACCCCCCTCGAAATTTGTTCACTTCAAGCGCATTTCATTTCAAACAAAAAATTAGCTCCTGCTTTTAAAATATTTTTGTATACTTTTACGAAAAAAAGGTACACTTAGCTTATATCTGCGTACAGTCGAAAATACTCCAAATTGTGCGCGATGAGACCTCAGAATGACTGATGAGTATTGGACACTGATACGGAATCGATTCAATCATTATACCACTAGGTAAAGTAAAGTAAAGTTAAGTGAAGTAAAAAAAAAGCGGATCTCCGATTGTGCCGTTGTTATTCGCGGTTTAGGTTTCATATTTAAACGGAAAATAATCAACGGTTTCTTTTGAAATGTTCAATGAATATTTTCCATGCATTTTATAATATTCACAAAAAATTGAAGGCGATATTTAAGTTAGTTTCCACGTAAAAAATAAAGCATTCCCGGAGATTTGCAATCGCTGTAATAGAGATACGCAATTTTCAGTTTTACCCCTTGACATATACAGTATCATGGATTTGCTGATGGTCAGATAAATCCATTCCGAATGTAATGAATGCGTGAGGAAATCCAAAGAAACAAAGTTTCTACTTATCGAAAAAAAACACTCCCCTCACACAAAAAGCACTCCAGAATCCGCATACATTTTTCCTGAAAATTTATGAGAGGAATAACTATATTTCTGCACTTACCTTGAACTAAATATGGCCTGAGTTGCTCTATCGACTGTTTGACGCACTCATTTACTTTTGGATCGCTTTTGTGGCAAACTTTGAGCATAGGAGCTGAAAGAAGAAAATACAAATGCCAATTTTTATATTGAAATTAACCATGTGACAGGTTATTAGCAAATGTACTTTTTCGTATAAAGTTCATTAGGAACATTGACAACGTAAGCAAAACAAGAGCCCCAATTTCAATCGACGATTGGCTCTGTTGTTCATTTTAAATAAGTAGAAGAGAGGACAAATATGGTAAGTTTTAGCAATTTTTCATGGAAGTAACAGAGGCCCGTAAGCCCTGGAAGTCAGCAATATTTTTAAGTTATCATTAAGACAGTCAGGATATTCTTGAAGATTGATTATAGCATTGCTAATAGATTTTGAAATTTTTTTTTGGACATTCTCTTTAAAATATTTTACAAACTTTCTCAAAATATTTTAAAAATGCTTTTATGTATGCATATTAAAAAAAAGAAAATATATACTCTTCGTTGTTCATAACAGTTTATCTACGAAGACAACACTTTTAAATAATTATTCTCTCTCTACCAAAAAGATAAAAAGAGAAGAAAAGAATGTCGGCCTTACAATATGGACGGAATGACTTTTTACACGATTCAATTTTTTAAAAATCCCTAGATCAAATTGCAATTTATAGGGAACTTGGGAACTTCCTGTCCCTTCTTTTTCAGAGTTATTTTACGACAAAAACACAATTATTTTATATTTATTCATAAGGCCTAAAATTGTTGGTTGTTGCCAATCACCAAAACTAGCAGAAACCGCTAGCCGATCAGAGTGCCTTGTCTCGCCACTTGAGATGGGGCCTTTGTCCAGCTTAAGGTTTTTTGTCACCTCGTTGTTATATATTCTTATTTTACGTGAACCTGAAAACATATCGTGTATTTATATGATACCTACAAAATATATAGAAATAAAATCATGTATAAAGTGATCAGACTTACGTAGTTTATTGTCTTTCGGTTTAACTCCGGGGATTGCAGAAACACTGTAAAATCCGACGACACATAACACCGCAAAAGTGCGGCTTACGAACCTATTCATTTTAATGGGGGCACTATATTACTGTACGATCACTAATTAACAAAGATCACATCCATAAGAGAATCTTTCCAGAGTTAACTTGCGGATCTGACAAACTTACAAACGAGACTGTTTAATCGGAGAAATGTGTAAGTGTGTAACTTCCTTTGGATTCGTGATGTTTTGGTTTTGATTGTTTATTTTTGAAGTTTCAATGCCTCACAGCTGACGTTCTTTGGGCGCGAAACACAATTCAGTGATTCACTCCACTTTTGTTATGAAAAATGTTGCGAGTTTACGTGCTTTAACGGATGACAGAGGTCACCCAGAAGAAAATCATCATTCGCCATCGATTTGATTCCACTTATTTCCTGTTTGAAGTCTCTCTTTTTCAGGAAAAACCATATAATTTTCGGCGGTTTTTCTCATGATCTTATAAACTAACTACGTGATGTTTCATCAAACATGCGGCAGTAAGTACAGAGAGTCAAAAATATGCTGGAAATAATGTTTTTAATGAGTTCTTTCGTGCATGAACTATCTAAGAGCATAAATAACTTAGAATCTACTTTTATCCATAACTCTGTATTGACTTGGATATAGAGAGAGTTTGCTATATTGCTGGTCAGACATTTTTTTATTTTAAAATTAGTAAAATTACTGAAGTTTTATTGGCGGTCCAAAACGCCCTATTGGCTTGTTGATTCCGAGAATTAATTCGTATTAAAAGTTTGCGCCCCCGGGTGGGCTCGAACCACCAACCTTTCGGTTAACAGCCGAACGCGCTAGCCGATTGCGCCACGGAGGCGGATGAGAAATGGGTCAACACTATTTCCATATACAGTGAGACAACAGAGGATTCGTCAAAAATTCGGAAAAAAAACTTTCTCAAGTACTTACATACCCGTGATGGGTTCNGGGGGGGGGGGGGGGGGGGGGGGGCATGGTTGAATAGCCGCCCCTCCTCGGCCAAAAATGGTAAACAAGTAAATAAAGGAAAGGGGGGGGAGAAAAAAAGGTGCTCCTAAAAATTTACTTTGCTAGGAAATGCTAGGAAATGCTAGGAAATGCTAGGAAAAGAGTCTATCTGCAAAACCAAAACATGAGAGTATGTTCTGGAAAGTCGAGTTGACTTACATTGATTTTTGGTTTCCTGGAAGTATGGTAGGTTCGGAATTGCTGATTCTAAAGGAAACCACGAGGACGTTAATTTTGAATGTCTTTGACCTTTTCAGAGTGTTTTGAGTGAGAGTTTGATTGAAAAATAAGTAGGAGGGTATTATGATGCCTCCCAACTCCGATGCACTGAAAAAAATAATATAGCCGTAGAGACAAGATAAACTTGTTAAACCTGCCTTGTCTCAGGAACAAGACTTTTAGTCTGCCGAACAACTCAGTTTGTTTGGGATTTGTTAATGCAACAAGACCAGTCTTGTTTGATATGCTAGGTTTCTGAGCCACCGGACTCGATAGTCTTGTCACCGTAACAAGATTCTCTACTCACCGCGAGTAATGGTCAAATTCAAAGAGAGCGTATTATTTTATATATTTTGAAAGAGTATTTTAAGAACTACGCTTAATAATTGTTCCCCGAAAATTTTTCTGGATGTTTAATGACAAGGTAAAAACAATAAGTTTATAATTCTTTTTTAAAAATAAATCGCTCATGCGTAAGGTTTTAAAATCAAATGTATCTAATTATATAATTATTTGTTTACCGTTGAGGATATCTTGCGGGCAACCGAAATGGACTTTTGGCGAAGGTCTGCAGGGATCTCGCGGAGAGAGCGCGTTCGTAATGAACGAGTGCGTGGAATAATGGGAGTTGAGGAAGATATTGTGCACGATATCAAAACCAGGCAGCTGGTTTGGTATGGCCATGTGCGGAGAATGGCAGATNATATAAAATAAAAATAAAAATTAGAATCATAAACACGGAACAAAGGAAACATCGTTGCTTGAAGAAACACATTTTTTCGGCCTAAATTGTCCATTTTTATCTGATGTAGAATGTAAATTCCTTTTCGTAAACGGTAAGTAAATGGTAAAAAAGAAAAAAAACCAAACAACCTGATGCTCTACGAATTCCACAGACTTGAGATAATAACAAAATGAAAAAGTAATTCTGTGGGCTATACTTATACCTAAAATTCGGATCTCCTCATATCTGCTCCGGATAGCTCGGTCAGTAGAACACTCGATCAGTAATCAAGAGGTCCCGGGTTCGAGTCCCGTTCAAGTCGGTAAAATTTGAAAAGTCGGATGAGACGATTCTGGCATAAGTGGAGTGAAGGAAGTAGGGAACAAATATATTTTCGTACAAATCGTGCAATTTGTGACATTTTTTTTTGCAATTTTAATTTCTTCCGAATACTTTGACAAGACAAGTCTTGTTCCCAGAACTAGACAATTTTGTTACCGTGACTAGACTTTTGACTTATGCAACAAGGAAGTCTTGTTCCCTAAACAAGACTGTATGTGTCCCATAAACTAGAATGCCTTGTGGATCAAATATAACAAGACGGTCTTGTCTGGGTGACTAGAATCCTTGTTTCTCGGACAAGGCACTTTTTTCAGTGTGGTACATTTGACTTTGGTCAATTTTGCCTAACTTAAATTTTATTAAAGATCACTTTCATGGCGAAATTTCAGCTCGCAAATTATCCGCCAATTTTATAAAGCCAGTATTAATTGCTCGAACTATTTTTAATAATAAGCTTCTGTTTCTAGGTAACTTTGGAAACCAAAACTGTGCTATCAGTCTCCTTACGCATATAGGTGCTTTTATGGATGAGCCAACAGTAGTTATCGCTAAATTTTGTCCATTTGCAGTTCAATCAGAACCGCAGGGGGAAAACCTCTTCACCTCGCGATACTTCAATCACGATAATTACCCGCGAAGTCGATTGTTCATGATCCTGATCGATAAATCCCTATCTTAGCAATGTTTTTTATCGATCAAGGTCATTCGATATAGATTAAACAATCAAGCCGCAGCAAAACAGAATAGCACAATGCAAGCGAGAGAATCTCCTCAATGTTAACGATGAGTTCACAAAGTGAAATTGTTTACAAGCCCGAATCCAAACATGCCACCGACCACGAAATCTGCGGTTGAGCGTATTGACATTGAAGCTTCTTGAAAGACAGATCGAGCTAGTTTAGAGTTAGAGCATCTTTTTCAGCTCGAATCGACATTGATTTTGAAGTTTTGTTTACCACCGCGCGGCGCGCCGGCACCGATGACGGCCGCTGCAGTTATTTTGGCCGCTCGCCCGAGCTTGTTTTATGGGGTTTCAGCTTCAGCGCTTCTGCACCCGGATGAAGATAAACACAAGTGTTATTAACCTATCTGATTGACTTGAGTTTCCAGTGGAAAACGGGTCATAATGTGAATGGATCTGTTGCAAGCAAAAGATACAGCCAACTGAATTACACTGTTAAAGGATAAATTCGTTCGAAAATCACGTTCACTTGGGAAAAAAGTCGCTTGGATTTAGAGTCCAGACTCTTAAAATCATTGACGAGAAAATATACTCTTGATTCGATCGGATTTTTACTCGAATCAAAAGTAAATTCGCTTAAATCAATAGGCTTGGCTCTTCGATTCAAGGACAAATCCGATTGAATCAAGAGTATTTTTTCTTGGCACTGCTTTTAAGAGTCTGGGCTCTAGAAGCAAGCGACCTTTTTAGTGTATTTTCCGAAGGAGAGATACACTGTTTTCCAGATTGGGTACGCACTAAAATCGTCTGAAATATACTCCTTAGCCCGCAATTTGCGTAGTTCGTACCACGCTTTTTCAAGTTCCCCGCGTCTCCGGGCAGTTTTCCTCGGTGGCTGGCAGTCAGGTTTGCTCGAGGAAAGACCTATCCTAAGTAAACAATCATGGATACTATTATAAACTCTCCTTGCGGGAGATTTCAATAGATTCAAAGCTTTCGGTTTTGCAAAATAAAGAAAGAAAAGGGGGAAAAATGCTTGATGACAAGTGAAATTATGCCAAAGAAAGACTTACTTAATCGTTTGTTCACTTTGGGAATAGTTCTTTCTTACTCCTCTGCCTGTGCAAACCTGGTCGGTGGTGACTGAGAAAAACTGCCCGGAGACGTGGAAAACTTGAAAAAGCGTGTTACAAACTACGTCTGTGCGATAAGGAGCGGATTTTAGACTTTTTATTTTCCAAACGTGATTTCCGAGAGAATTAACCCCTAAAAAGTGTATTCAGGTGGCAGTACCTATCTCTTGTGTGCAACAGAACCATTCGTTACTCAGCAGTGAAAAAAAAAAAAAAAAAAAAAAAAAAAAAAAAATTATCTGCAAACAATCATTGTAGAGCTCTCTTGACTCTATGTCTTCAATTTATCAGTCACTTCTGCATAAAATTCCTGGAATATTCCAAGATCTGATCTATTTGCATGATGTTGTCACACCACACACATCAGTTACCACCAAAAATTGTCGGACCTTTAAGGGACTAACGGTCATCAATGCCATCGATGAACCTTTTTTATGGCTCTACATCGATCCTGTGATACGGGCAACACGAGTTGCATTTTGAAAATTTTAATGTTTCCAACTTTTTAAACGTGAAAGTTTTACTGTGGGGCATATCGTTGGTAAAACTGCAAAAATGCGTACCTCAGTTTGCAGCATTGCCTACTTGTACTTCATTCTCTACAAGGAAAACTACTAAACGTCATTTCGTGAAGATTTAGGAGAATTTTTTGCTCCGTAAGAAGCATATCGACGGTGAAACTACCAAACCACGTATCTCGGTTTGCGACGTTGCAGACTTCCTGTCATACTTTATTTTTTAAATGGAAAACTACTCAACGTCAATTCGTGAAAACTTCCTCGATTTTTCCTCTTTGTGCGGAGAAAAATCTGTGAAAATTGTAAGGAATGATATTGATTAGATCTCCTTCAAAAAAATAAAATGTGAGTGGAGATTTTTAAACACCGCAAACGAGATACGTGGTCTGGTAGTTTCACCGTCGATATTCTGTGTGAACTCCAAGCCATAGTATTGGTTTGATCTCCTAAAAATAAAATAGAAGCGAAAATTCTGAAATACTTAAACTAGGATACGCATCTTTTCAGAGTCTCCATTGATGTGCATTGCCAGGGCCGGATTT